GGTGCTTTGCAGGGCCCTTGAAACTTCACCGGACCAGCCATGTAGTTTCCTTTTGCTATCACAACCGTACTCGGAGTTGTGGATGCGCATGCTTCTTTCCAAGCACTATTAATAGCCTAAAATCAATAGCATACTCAAAAGGTTACTAAGATGTTAAGATATACGGCCCGCATTCATAGTTTGACAACATTTACAACGTACTAAATATCTGGGAAGAGAAATATCACATTTGTATAATGTGCACAAAAGTTTTACCTGGCTATCATCTGTCTTACCATCAGCCTTGGCTCCATACTTCTTGATATCAAAATCTGCAGCTCTGGCTTTTATGGAAAATGATATCAAGAACAAAAAGAATGTAGTTCCAAGAATAAATTTTGAACCCATGTGAGGCTTCTTTTGTATAACAACTTTGAGCTTCTAAATTCTAATAACCTTGAGTACTTTTTCAATGAAGGGTTTCGTTATATAGTGTAGTTAAGGAAGCTGAAAACCACAAAATCTTGAACCTAATTTTATGTGGACGAAATCTATGAGGTCCCCTTGTTTTTGGTGATGATTTCTATAACTCCTCAAATTATCCTCCAATTTTAGGTGCTATAGTTTCTTAATTTACCTGCTAACCAGGCTTTTGCACCTCTAACCTCTTACATGTACAAATATGCACGTATAGATTTTTCTGAGAACCTACGTGTGTGGAAGAGCTTATTGGCCTCCAACAAGGGTAAAGCTTATTAATTCATTGCTCTATTACATTTAATGCACATTAGAAAGTCTCATATCACCACGCAAATTGGATATTTTGAATGGTTATCTTGGAAAGCTCTGTGGCTTGGACATTAATAAATAATGTTAGGACCACTTGATCAAATAGATGAATGGTTTGAAATTGAACCACACAAACCCCTTGTACGCACAAGCAATCTTTTATCACCCTTCCACTAAAAAGTCATTATCGACTGAAATTTTTTCAAAGTATAGCAAGAAAACATCAAAGTCGATAGGTATCAAAGAAGTATGAAAAGAAAAAAAAGAAAAAAAAGAACCAATGTTTCATCAGGCCATCCAGTTCCAAATGCAAACCAGGTAAACTGTTAATCCACGTCTGGCTGACATTAATACCCCTTGGTCTGTGAATATATACAAATAGGAAAATGCTAGGGAGACCAATTTGGGAGACCAACTTGGGATACCAACTCTCTAATAGAGCGTGGGACCCATTGCATTGGTGGGCTCCA